GAAATTCATGTGTGTTTCTATAAAATGACTGAACACCACCCAAAACGTTTGCACAGGATACTTTTTTTTTTTCTTTTTTTAAGAGACAGAGGCTCACTCTTTTTCCCAGACTAGAGTACAGTGGTACGATCATAGTCCTCTGCAGCCTCTAACTCCTGGGCTCAAGCAATCCTTCTGCCCCAGTCTCCTGAGTAGTTAGTACTGGCTGATTTTTTTTTTTTTTGACTTTTTGTAGAGATGAAATCTTGCTATGTTGCCCAGGCTGATCTTTAACTCCTGGCTTCAAGCAGTCCTCCTGCCTTGGCCTCCCAAAGTGTTAAGACTGTAGGTATAAGTCATTGCCCCTGGCCCACACAGATACTTTTTTTTTTTGAGATAGCTTCTTGCTCTGTCACCTAGGCTGAAGTACAGTGGTGCAATCATGGCTAACTGCAGCCTCAACCTTCTGGGCTCAGGTGATTCTCCCAACTCCAACTTCCTTAGTAGCTGGAACCACAGGTGTGTGCCACCAGGCCTGGCTAATTTATTTTTATTTTTGTAGAGACAGGATCTCCCTATCGCCCAGGCTGTCCTCAGACTCCTGAGCTCAAGTGATCTTTCTGCCTTAGCCTCTCAAAGTGTTAGGATTACAGGTATGGGCCAGCTTGCCAGCTGGATACTTTAATTTATTCATGCTGTTTTCCAAGTTCCAGTTCCAGGATTGAATAATTGTCCCTCAGCATGTTAGAGGTTACTGGTTCTTTTTTTGTGGTGGCTTTAAATGGGAAGGTTTGTTCCAGTTCTTGGAAGCATGGTAGCCTTTAGGTGGGGAGTCTAATCTGGGTTAGATTAAGACCCTCTCATTGGCCTAAATCTGACAAGACTGGAGCAGGCACTACATTCATAAACTTTGATTTTTTATTTTCTTTCTGTCTCACTCCCCTTTCCTTCTCTATCTTTTTTCTTTCCTTTCTTCCTTTTCTCATTCCTCCCCTGCTTTGTTCTACAGATGTTTATTGAGCATCATGTAGCTTTGAGAAGCTTACAGACTAGCGGGTTAAAACATATGCCTGAAAAATATCACAGAAAGCTCTAATTGCAAACTGTGATAAATGCTAAAACAAAAATGCAGGTGCTATGAGACTGCAAAGCAGAGAGATCCGGCCCAGCCTGCAGGATCAGAGAAGCTTCCCCAGGGAACTGACAGGCTGAAGTGGGATTAACTAGATGGTAAGGAAAGGGAAAGAAGTATTTTTCGGGCCAAGGAAACAGAATGTGCTTTAGGAATTAAGAGGAAGAATAACAGGCCGGGCGCGGTGGCTCACGCCTGTAATCCCAGCACTTTGGGAGGCCGAGGCGGGTGGATCACGAGGTCAAGAGATCGAGACCATCCTGGTCAACACGGTGAAACCCCGTCTCTACTAAAACTACAAAAAATTAGCTGGGCATGGTGGCGCGTGTCTGTAATCCCAGCTACTCAGGAGGCTGAGGCAGGAGAACTGCCTGAACCCAGGAGGCGGAGGTTGCAGTGAGCCGAGACCGCGCCATTGCACTCCAGCCTGGGCAACAAGAGCGAAACTCCAACTCAAAAAAAAAAAAAAAAAAAGAGGAAGAATAACATCGTGTGGGATGAGGCCAGGAAGGAAGCAGGGGAAGATCACACTGAGATTCACAGGGCCTGTTGGGGATGCTGGTGTCAATACCAAGAAGACTACAGTAAGGCCAGTGAACTATTGGAGCCCCATATATGTGTGTTTCTGAATTTTGTCGGATAACACCAACTGTTCAGCTGTTTTATTGACCTATTGCAACTTGGAGTATGACTTAACGGCGATTGCACCCAGGATGAAACCTTATAATTTACAGTGAGCTGGTGTCTCAGAAGAGGACAGAAAGTGAAGTACTGTAGCATTTGGGATTCTCCCTTTGAACAGTGAAAGAACCAAACAGAAGCTAATTCTGTTATGTCAGCATGCTCTACCGCAAAGCCACGGGGCTTGTGGTCGATCAGCTTGCTCCGTCTGTAAGGTGGGCATGGCTCTTGTGAGGGAGCAGATGGTACTCAGTTGCTCAGATGCCACAGGTCAGCAGGAACATGAACACAAAGCCTTAGCACATGGAGTGGGGCTGAGACCTCAGAGCACCGCCCCTCACAGTCTCTTCACTCCAGTGATAACAGGTGGCTTCAGGAATCACTATGTGCAAAACGACCACAGAAAAGAAAAGTAAGACACTAAAGAAATTCAAAGCTCTTTCATCTTGCCCCCATTTGTGAGAGCAATATCACGATTGTTAACTACATTTGATTTTGGGGTCCAAGCTTTTTCCTGGTACTTTCAAATCTTTTCCTCATTAGTGACCCTTAAAAGAATTGCACTTAAAAAAATACTAGGAGATCAATAAAACTGGCATTCTCTGTGTCATACACAAGGGTGTTTTCTGGGCTTGTTGATACAGATGGTGTCAGGTGGGGCCTTGAACAGAGTAGGGAGGAGAGCCAGAGAGACATGGCTCTTTTTCTTTTTGCCAATGCATTGCAAACTGTCAAAACAAGGTTTAGGCCAGACGCAGTGGCTCATGCCTGTTATCCCAGCTCTTTGGGAGGCCGAGGCAGGTGGATCACCTGATGTCAGGAGTTTGAGACCAGCCTGGCCAACATGGTGAAACCCCATCTCTATTAAAAATATAAAAATTGGCCAGGCATGGTGGCATATGCCTCTAGTCCCAGCTACTCAGGAGGCTGAGGCAGGAGAATCGCTTGAACCTGGGAAGCGGAGGTTGCAGTGAGCTGAGATCACTGCATTGCACTCCAGACTGGGCTACAGAGTGTAACTCCATCTCAAAAAAAAAAAAAAAAAAGGTTTGTCATTTTCTTCAATCACATGAGTCTATCTATTATCTCTTTACTTTCCCCACTTCAACTCTCCCTTACTCTTAAGCTCTATTATAGGATCAAAGGGTTCTTAAAAGAAAACTGAAAATAACAAAAGCTATATCCAACACTCTGTTTGTAGGATATATGTAAGTATAAGCCACATATCATTCTAGTAAGTGATTGTCAGGTTACATCAGGAGCAGAGAAAAGTGAAAACCCAGGGAAAAGAACATTGGCCAGAAAACTTGAGGCCAAGAAAAGCACTGTGATGTAACACGTTAAATGTGAAATTGTCACATACCTGCTGTGTGTAAGACACTGCTCTAGGCATTTAACAGCATACAAAAGTGTGGAACAACCAAGGAATTTACATTTTAAATTGAGAGCACATGTAAATATAAGCAACATATAAAATGTCAAATAATAGCAAAAAAAAAAAAGGAACAGATGAGGTGTCAGAAATTTGTCTGTGATTTATTGGTAAATGAATGATGCTGTCAGTGAAGTGATTTTCTCTGCTAATATCCTTACTTCCTAATGATGAACACCATGCATGGTGGGCTTGTAGTGCATACCATAGTGGTAGATGTTGAGTAAATATTGGGCTGAATGAATGAGTGAGTGAATGAATGACTGATTCAAGGCTGGAGAACTCTAAAGGTTTTAAAGTAAATATAGTGCTTTTAGCTTGTTTAAATTTTCTTTTATCTTTTTTTTTTTAGACAGAGCTTTGCTCTTGTAGCCAAGGCTGCAGTGCAATGGCACGATCTCAGCTCACTGCAACCTCCACCTCTCAGGTTCTCCTGCCTCAGCCTTTAGTGTAGCTGGGATTACAGGTGCATACTACCAAGCCTGGCTAATTTTTGTATTTTTAGTAGGGGTAGGTGTCACCATGTTGGCCAGGCTGGTCTCGAACTCCTGACCTTAGGTGATATGTCTGCCTCAGCCTCCCAAAATGCTGAGATTATAGGCATGAACCACTGTATCTGGCCCTTATTTAAATTTTCTAAAAGGTAAAATTATACTAAAATACACACATCTTAAATGTAAGTACGATTACTTCTTGTATCTATATGGATACACAAAACCACCTCTAGATGAAGATATAGAACATTTTTAGCATATTGGACAGGTCTCTCATTACTTCTTCCGTCCATACTTCCCTTGGAGTGCCATTCTAATTGCTGTCAGCACACATTACTGTAGCCTGTGTTTGAACTTCATATAAATGGAATTATGCAGTAGTCCTCTTTTATGTTGAAATTCATCCATGTTGTTGCATGCTGTTGCCTGAATTCATTCATTCTTTTTCATTTCTGTGTATTATTCATCATATGACTATTCCACAATAGTCTGTCTTTTTTTCAGAAAATAGAGACATTTATTGTTCCCTATAACCAGAGAATTGAGGCAGGCCGGCATCTGGGTTGGCAGGGAGCTCAGAGATGGCAGCAAGTGACACCCCTGCCCATTTTCTTCCTCCATCCTGAATATGTTGCATCCATCTTGGGACTTTTTGCCCCAATGTCCTAAGATGGCCTCCAGTGCTTCCTGCATGATTGTATCTGCACTGAGCTTCAATTTGCAACTTTGTGTTTGTGCTGAGGGTATGCTTTTTGGATTGGTTTGCATCGCTTTGCATAGACCTGTTCTCTTATGTGCCGGTATTGGTGGGCCATGGTATAGTTCTCTTCATTTAACTCTTCTTTAATACCATTTAGCAGTTTGTTATAAAAGATACAATTGAGGAACAGCCAGGCGGAAGAGAGGTATAGGGAAAGGCATGAGGGGACAGGCAGCGAGGGCATGGAGAGTGTCCAAGCCCGCCTTGGGTGTGCCACTCTTCCAGGACCTCATTGTGTTTGCCAACCTGGAAGCTCCCACAGTATTCTGTTGTTAATGGATATTTGGGCTAGTTTAAGTTTGGGGCTGCTATGAATGTTTGTGAAGCTAGTATGAACAATTTTTCTTTTAATGGGTATAAACACTCTCTTCTCTTGGGTATATAAAGTGGAATTGGTGGGTCATAGAGTATTTGTACCTTTAGAAGATGTTGTCAAACATGTTTCTTTTTTTTTTTTTTTTTTTTTTTTTTGCTATTGTATTTTTTAAATTTTGACTTCTTTTAAAGAAGGTGATAACAATCTGTGGAAAATGCTTTTACTGTATCATGCCAACATACTGCAAGAAGTATTTCAAAATAATATAAAAGTAATTCACACATTTAGATTAAGTGAAGGTCATATGATCCAAAAATTTTCTTCCTTAGTTTTTCACGGCAACTGCTAAAGTCCATAAGCTGATTTTTCCAAGAAAATTATTCTAATAATTTTGAGTGTTCAATCCGTGCAATGGTCCAGTCAGGCTTTACTCCTTGTGTAAATTCCCTCTGAAACTCATAGCTTGCATTAAGAAGTTGTTTAGTTTCCACATTCTGATTCCCCAACTTAACCTGGAATAAACTGGCTCCTCTTAAGGTTTCACTAGGGATGTTGGCACTGGTTAGATACCAAAAGCACATCAGGATGTTAACAAACTTCCTTCCTTTCTCATCATAGTAAATGGAGATGTCTCCTGTTGATGTATATACAATTTCGTCTATGTTAGCAGCAAGGGCATTTTTATGGTTGTCAGGTAGTGAAGTAACCTTTTGTTTCAATACATGTAGCACCTCTTGGGCCACAAGTTCTTCCAACAGATCAAATTTACACTGTGACAGCAACTTGGATACATGAGCAAAAGCCTGCTTCGCTCCCTCAGAGAACTCTGCGATGTTGAACTCTTTGTCGAAATAGGCCCAGATAAGGAAGGCGTAAATTCGAGTCCTAACCCAGTTGATGGGGTTGGCGAATCCCAGGACGATCATCTTGGTTTTCTGGTGCTGCTGGGGCTTCTCCTTCGTGCTGTAGCTGCGCCGAGGGCAGGCAGGGAAAGAAGCGAAGGCTATGGGGAGTCCCGGGCGGCTGAGCACTGGCTGCCAGGAGCCCTGGGCAGGTAGCACCGAGGCCGCGGAGGCCCAAGCCCTTCGGGGAAATGAGGCCACTCCCGAGCCGAGGCGACATCGGCAAAGGTAGCAAAGTCCGGCCGACGGCAGCCTCACCTCGGCCGCACCGGGAGTCCGGAGTCGGGCGGCCCCGCAGGGCAGCGACCGAGAGTTCAGCAATTGGGGTAACAGACGAGCGGCCAGCGCCATTTTCATGACCCTTCCAAACATGTTTCTTGAGTGGTCATACCAATTTATGTTCCCACCAGTAATGTAAGAGAATTTAAATATGGATTCTTAACTGTTTTGTAGGTGTCAGTAGAGTTCATTTAAAATGTATAAAGACTCTGCTTATTGCAACCCAAGGAAGGGAGGGAATGAATTTTTCCCAGCATTAGCATTACTCATATTTCTAGACTCCAAACCCTGCCTCTCCCTTCCAGGGCCTCGTTATATTACAGAGTAAGCTCCAGAGGGCAGAAACGGTATCTGATTTCTCACTGCCACATGCTCAGGGCCAGGCACAATATAGGCATTCTATCAGTATTGAAGTGGATCCTGAGGTAGGGCCATCACTTAGGAAGGCAAATATGGGAAAAGCATAGTGGCAGCCAGTTACTGAATTCTGGTTTTTATGGAGATCGAAGCTCCCAGCTTTATCACTTGTCAGGTTCATGTCATTCATCCCAACTTAATTGAGAATCTGCGCTGTGCTGGTAACTCTTGCTTTGCTACTGCTGCAGAATAAAACCAAGAATGTCAGGCAGGGCGCACAACAACACACTGACTGGTCCAGGTATGGGTTAGTGGCCACAGCCTCTCTTTGTTCCCTGAGTGGGTCAGGCTCATAGACTGCCCCTTAGTAAAGAGGGAGCCTGTGATAGGGCCCCTGCAGCAGGGTTGGGGGTAGGCTCAGGTCAGGCCTGTACCACGGAGAACAGCAGTCAGGCACAATTTAGATTCTTTAATTTGGCTCCCTTATCAAAGATGACCTCTTCTTTTTGTGGAGAGAGGGATGAACAGGGAGAATCATAAAGCATAACTATGAATAATTTGAATCTGGAAATATGTGCAATGTGACTTTTGGGCAAAGCTGCTTTAAGAATAATAAAAGGTAACATTGAGTACTTCCTATGTACCAGTCAGTGTTTAATTTTCATTACAACTCTGTGAAGTGGACACTTTCTTAGTAGCCCCATTTTACAGATAGGGAAACCAAGGAATGGAGAGGAGGCATACCTTTCCCAATGTCACACAGCTAGAAAGTGGCAGAGTAGAAATGTAAACCTACATGATTCCAGACACTGGGCTCTTAGCCGCTCACCGCATGACAGCTGGCTATTCTTTGTGGTGCTTTGAACTTCTAAATTCATGGTCTTTATTTCTCTGAGCCTCACAAAAGTAGGATGTTTGATATGAACATTTTAATCATTTGGGGATCTAATTTCTCCAGAGATGGCAATCTTTTAGTGTGATGTACCTAGAAGTGTTAGAATAATCCATTGGTTTTGGTTTTGAAAAAGAAAGATGTTAACCTAGTATTAGTTGATCTGATGAGAAAGTTGACAGTACTAGGCCCTGAACACCTTACCTATAACCTCAAAAGCAACTTGAACTAGGTTTTATCGGGCCAAATCCCCATTTTACAGATGAAGAAACTGAGGGTTAGATAGGCAGAGTAACCTGCCCAGGGATTCAAAGTTAGAAAACATCAACACTGGGATTTGAGTCACTTTAACTCCAAAAGCCTATGCTGTCTTTACACAGTCCACAGACGTCCGCTTGTGCCCAAAAGAAGCTCTCAATTTCAAGGAAATTGAGGTTATGTGATAACATAGTCTACCTTGTTTGCCCTATCCAGTTTTTTTTTTTTTTTTAATCAGCCTATCACATCAAATTACATTTCCAAAAGAACAGCTTTGAATTGTAATAGATGGCATTGTTCACTGTCTCAGCATTTTAAAATTTGTTTCAATTTTAGTGCCAATACTATCTATTTAAATACAGGAAGCTTTAGTCATAAGAATGCTAATATGCCTGATTTAGTTGTTAAATTTTGTTGTGCTGTAATGAGCAAACAAGTCACTGTGGAAACCAAATGGAAATGCAGATGAAGAGAGATACAGCAAGAGGCCTAAGAAATGGGGCAGTTTGAAATAATTCTGTCAAAGCAGACTGGGAGGCTGAAGAACTGACTCAAGAGAAATTCAGCTGCTTAACAATACGGATACATAAAAACAAAACGAAGAGAAATTCAGCTGAGGTTATTCGGTGAAGCTATATAGGAAAAATGATAGAGTATACAAACCTTAGACTTGTTGAGGGTCTATTTTATCATTTCAAAAACATTGTGTAATTTATGATAGTGCCACTAACAGTGTTTACCTAATTTATTAATAATTTTAAACATTATTTTGACCTCAGTTTACATGTGACCAACTTGTTTCTGCTTTAAAGAATACATATACAGGTATTGATCGACTTACGACCTATGCAACTTACGACCATTCGACTTTACGACCACAGTCGCTAGCCATGACTGCTCCACGTCTGGCAGCGCAAATGTTGCCCAGCTGGGCGTACGACAGTGCAGACCAGCTTCCAGCAGCACTACCATCTCCGCATGCACCATTTCAACTGTACATATAGCCTACTGAACTTACGACCAAATCGTGTTACAACCGGTCTGCCGGTCCCAATCGTGGTCGTAAGTCGAGCACTAGCTGTAATCGTTATTTTAAAGACTGACTCAGTTAAAATGCTTAGAATCTCCTGCTCCCTGCCCAAGGATTCAGTTGCCATTCCAGTAATCCAATAGATACTAGAAACATAATATTCTAGACTGATGTTCAGATGTCACCAATATGAAAGCCCTAACAGAGGACCCAACAGAACATTTCCCATTAGCACGACTTGGTCAAGACTATTCCATAAAAGTCTGTTCGTTCATCTGGTTTAGGACTTAGATTGTCTGTTTTTTCAGGATTTGAGGCTTAGGAAAATTACTTTTGCCCAAGAGTGAATATTGAAACTCATTTATGTAACAGTTTTTGAACTGAGTAGGCAGAGAAATGTCAACTGTAAACACAGGACTGCAGACAGTGGGCAGCTGTCCAGTGGTCTGGCAAGAACTTGCCGATCAGCACAGCCCTGGAGCTTCACATAAGAGTGAAGTCAGCCTCTACTTTGAGATCCAAAAAGCGTTTCAGATAGTGCCAAGTGCCATGTTAGGACTTGTCAACTTCTGCCCAAGTAATATCAGACTGCCAATGTTTAGATATACTTCTGTTAATCCTACCCTGTCTTGGCACTTGTGTGCTCTGTTATGTATCAGATTCTCTAATTTTTGCATTTTGATCCTTGGGTATTTAGCGTTAAAGGCGTATTACAGATGATGATGAAATGATCACTGTATTTGCAGGTCTTATGAGTTCTTGATCCAAAGCCCCAGAGGCAAACAGTGTTATAAGTTTGCAGCAGGTGAAAGACAGGGTCAGCTCTCTTATGACTTATCTAACTTGGAAGTATATTAAAGTACATTATCAGTTACAGGAATGGGAAGTCAGCTTTTAATGCACCACTGTTCGTAGCTCTTGGCAGATTACTAGTTGGTAAATGCCCTGGGAGTAGCATTACAATTCTCTTCTCTCAGCTCGCTTCACAAGAAAACAAGTCTCATTGCATATCTTTTAAACTGAAGTCTTTCTTCAGCAAAACTTATCTGAATGCATGTACTTGTCCATTTGGTTTAAACATTATTTTGACCTCAGTTTGCATGTGACCAACATGTTTCTACATTAAAGAATGTATATAATGAATACTGTAGCAAAAACCACGAGCACCTGCCATGGGCATATGTGCACGTGGTGCAGGCAGGCCTACAAAGATGGAGCAGTTGAATACATTGCCCTTAGAGAACATCCAGTCTTGAAAAGAAAAGACACGTGTCAATAACTTTGATCAAGATGGACTAAGGAAAGTCCCAGAGGTGCTGAGTGAAAGTTTAAGAACCTGGATAATTACTTCCACTGAGCCACAGAGAATGGCTTCATGTCATCCAGACAGGGCCTGAAAAGGATGGGATTTGGACTTTGGAGATGTAATTGGAAGACTGTTCTAGGTAGAGGAAATGCATAGAGTGGGCAAAGAGTGAATATGATTGTGGGAATTGCAAGACATTTCATTTGCTTGAAGATTTTAAGAAGTATATCCTGGAAGAGTAAGGTGGAAAGTTAGTTGAGGTAAGATCTTGGAGGATCTTTAATAGTAAAGCGAAGGAATTTTGGCTTTATTCTCTCTTTCCTTAGTTTCAATATTAACTTAAGTATTTTAACATGGCTGGGTGCTGTGGCACATGCCTGTAGTCCCTGCACTTTGGGAAACCAAGGCAGGTGAATCATGAGAGCTTCACATTCACAGTTCAAGACCAGCCTGGACAACATGGTAAAACCCCATCTCGACAAAAAAATAGCCAGGCATGGTGGTGCATGCCTGTATTCCCAGCTACTCGGGAGGCTGAGGTGGGAGGATCGCTTGAGCCTGGGAGGTCAAGGTTGCAGTGAGCTCAGATCGTGCCACTGCACTCCAGCCTGGTGACAAAGTGAGACCGTGTCTCAAGAAAAAAGATAAATAAGTAAATAAAAGGTATTTTAACCTAAGATCTGATTACTATGCCATTAATAAACAGTAAAGTGATCCTTTTGGGAATTGTTGGGGAACAAATAGTACTGTTTATACAACTGCAATATATAAAGTATGGGTGAAAATAGCATTTTTTGGCTGAAAACTTTCAACAGAGGCAGCCCCAAATATATCGCATAACCATATCACTCGGAGAAAGTCAGCTAAGGCATACAGCGTGCACTTATTTTGATTTGTCCATAGATTTGATGATGTTGGGATCTACATTTCACAGCCTTTTTCTTGGCCAGGTGTGTGTTGCTAATGCCTAATACCCCATATCTCTGGCAAACAAGACACCAGCTTGTTTGAAAGCTGAGTCATTGAGCTCCTTTTTCTTTCTTCTCAATTTCCTACTTAGCGTTTCACCTTCACATTGGACACGTGGTAAGTAATGAGATGCCCATTGATTTGCTGCCCAGGGAAGAGCAGCTCTGGCTGTTTTCTATTCAGAGTAATTATTTTAGCGTACCTATAGTTTGCCTTGGAAATATTCTGAGCTGATGTTTTTAGTTGTTGCAAGCTACTAAAAGAATTTT